TGTCAAGGTCCAAAAATAGTACAATGTAGCCATATAATATTTTCCGGTAACAAAGTAACTGGTAATAAAGCCCACCGGTATTTTTACCAAGCCAATACTTGAACATATGGCGGGCCGTATTGAACGAAACCATACAAAGTAGAAATAGCTAATGGGTGTACACAAATAGAAAAGTAATGTCGGCAGACTTTTTGGGGAGAAAAAAAATAACAAATAAGGAAATAAGACGAAAAAAGACGCGTAAATTTGTTTTAAAACACAAAAGTAAAAAGTGCAACCTAAACAGCGGGAAAACAGTCAAAAATATGTCGCGCATTGTATTGGGTATAATATTGTAGTTTAACCATTTCTGAATTAAAAAAAAAAAATTGTACGAAACGTACTTTGTGCTTGTGTTCAACGCTACTTGGAAACGACTCTGCCATTACAGTGGTTTGTGTTGGAAACAAGTTGGCACTCTGCCATATTTATCCACGCAACACAAAGACCGCCATTTCAAATCAACGTACAACAAATATGTTCGAATATTTTTTTGTTAAAATCTCTCACCTGTCCCCACTCTGTTACTTTGTCTCTGGAAACGTGTTTGATGGCCACCTGAAATGCAAGAGAAGAAAATACAAATTAGAATAAAACTTGCGATGCATCACCGGAAAAATTATACGACACCGGCACCAAGCGCACTCCACGACAAATTCAAATGGCTGACGGAACTTGGGCCAGATACTTACCGGCAACGAGTCTTTCACTCTTGTTCCCGCATAAACTGTACCAAATCCACCACTTCCTAGGACACTGCCTACATGATAAACCTTTTCGAAAGGCTCACGGTCTTTAACTGTAAGTAAAATATCAAACAAGGACGTGAGAACTCTAGCTTTTTCGCAACCCGGAACGATCAAAACACCGGCACGGTATGTTATTGTTTTGGGCGCTACAAGTCTGAGAAAAACGTACCTGCACGGTCAACTGGTGAGCCCATGTTGTTAGTAGAGCAGATCTGAGGAAAATGACTGGTTAGCTTCCTTGAGAGAATCATTATATAGTAGTTTTGCACCTGGCCGTGGTAAAACAAGGGCCGGTTTGGAATGACACGAATGAGCACACGAACACGACGGCTACTTCATACGCGGATACGAATGTTTCTGAATTTTTACTACGAATTTGTTGTAACGTATGTTGTGCTGGGGACTCACCACTGTATTATTACGCCGCGCCATGTGCTGGCACTCTGCCAACATCATGAGCCTATTAGTTATCGGACACTGTCGCTTTATTTAAAAAAAAAATCGACATAAAATATTTCAGATGTTGCGTATGTTTTTAAAATTTATATTTTCGGTAAAAATTATACATACTACAACAAATCATTCAATTTTATTATAAAGATTCGCTCTTCAGGCGTTGGACTTTTTTGACGCGGAGGAATGTAAAATATTGTTACTACGACCGATTTACTGCTGACCTTTTCAATAATACCAGACATTCCAGACAGTCAAACTAGCCAATGAGATGACATTAGTGTGGTCCACGCCTTTCTTCTGACCAATGGTGGACAAGTAGTCGAATTCCCGCGATGAAGAGCTATCAATCAAAATCTTCGATGATTTGCATAAACACGAAGACCAATTACAAATCAGAAAATCTAATCGTAGTGAATGTTATGAATAAAATCCCGCCAGAACAAGCCCGCGAATTCTTTATCGGCAACACAAAGGGATAATCCCGCATACATTTATACAAACCATGGCAAACGCCACGCACCTGATACGCTAGGTCACAGTCCTTCTATAGGAGAGGGACTGTATCGAGGTTTATTGGTTTGGAAATTTTACTTTCAACGTTCTATTCTCTTAGATCGACTTGATAAATATTATTTTTGTCTCCAGTGTCACCTGCTGCAATATATGTATTCGTGAACGTAGCCAAACTATTATTATCCGAGTATTGGCTGTAATCCCCGGGCTTTCATCACAGTCCGACTATGCCGTAATCAGTAATAATTATAATTATAATTGTAACCCAGAACAGAAAAAGAAAAGATATAAACTTCAAAGCCAAAATGTTATATCACATTTGCCCAGTATTACGCAAAGGACGATCTGTGGCCGGGTCGTCTGCCTACGTGACCCTGCCCCAACGCGCTACGTATACGGCTGTGATAGAGGGACAGTGTTCTGATCAGGAAACTAATTGCTAATATGCTTTGCATGTTTGCAGACTTTAAAACAATGCATTTTCCGTAATTTGATTTCTCATTAATTGAATCGTAAGTGATTCACAGGTTGTTGCATGTCCAATACAAGGTGAGACAGGTACATGTTACTTGTCACATGGTGACCTTCAGGGGTGGACCATTAGAAATTATTTTAGGGTGATGGCGGAAAAACTATACGAAATATTTTTTTACTTACAGTTTTGTGATATTTTTTGTATGCTTGATGAATTTGCTGTATTTTTTACACTACTTAAAAAATCTTTTCTTTTCGATCTAGGCGTGCAGATTTTTTCTTTTATCCCTGGAAGATTTTTTTCCCCATTGATTTCTTCTGTGCAAATAAAGTTTTTCCAGTTCTGCCATCGCCCGAGTTTCTAAATGGTCAACCCTTTGCGGCCCTTTGTACATAACAATGAAATTAGCAAATGGTATATCATGTACCGTAATTAACATTGGACCGCGGCTCAGTACAGGCGTACTTTATGGTACGCAGTATGCCAACTCTGCCTGGCAACTAAGCAGCCCCGGGTATGCAACCCTTTGTTCTTTTCCACGAATTAGTACGGTACAAGTATTGAAGTACTACAGATAACGCCGAAAATAAATCGGTGTGTACCAGGGGACTGTCCCTGCGCCTGTCGTTTCTGCACCCCGTTCCCGTACCTAGCAGCTGCGGTATTTATGATTGCGATATTTCGCCAAACTCTGAAGTCACGATCGAGCATGGGCATGATTTTTACTATAATGACAATCTGCGAACTCAATCCGGATACCCAGCCAAGTGAATTTTCGTTTCTAGTGGACACATCCACTTGAGGACTCACCCTTTTTTCATATACCGCTATATACACACTGTGTTACTGGAAAATACTTGATGATTACAATTTTGCGCCCCCAAAATTAAAGAAACCACAAACGGCTTTTGACAAATGTATAATTTGATAGTACAACTCGCGTGTACGTGTATCACGTGCCATATACCGGTATCTACACGTAGTCGTTATGCAGAAATGTAAACAAAAAATATACGAACATTTGACTAGCTCTGTTTTAATACCCTTATACATGTATTCACTACTGCATATGTACATGGCGTTGTTTTAGCTTTCTTGGTGTTTGGTTGTAATTGGTCCGGGGTATCTGCGGGAATGGGGGTGTAACTAACTGGTTGTAAAATTTGTTTCTGCATTTTTACATTGTTAACATGCACCAACACGTGAAAGTGCTACGTTGAACCATGGAGTTACCTCCATGGTTGAGCCATAGAACCATAGACCAAACACAGGACAAGTATATTCGGACAAAGGTGACTGTGTCACTGTTTTTTTTAACGGTAGTTGAAAATTTGCTGGTTGCCGCTGCTTGTTAAAATAAACACCGCCTCCATCGATTTTACGCAATATCATATAGATTAACAGTAGTTTGCCGTGTCATGTGATTCTCCCAGGGGGTAGATCCACAACCAGTAATCAGTAAACAATCAGGTGACTACGGTGGGGTTGGGTGTGGGGTGGTGCATTCTTGATGTAAGGCTTCCCCTCATTTATCAACAAATCATGGCAATTTCAGTTAATCAACAAAATGTTAAGTAAATACAAATTGTATACTGTGAGGATGACCTTTATAAGAATCATATCATGACCGTTTCAAGAGGATGAATTATACCGACCGAGCAACCACTGGAGCCCAGACAAAGTCATGGCATTTAAATGAAACATTTGTTTATATTGTGTAAACGGACTATCGATGTCTTGAATATTTGCTGTATAGATTGTAAGTTAATGGTTTACAATAAAATCGTTCACTGCGAGGGAGGTTGACGACCTTCTACCTTGTTGAGTAGATGACGAAGTGGCTTGGCTGGTATAGTGCAGATATTGCTTCGTACGGAGTTGCTGCCGCTGGTTCAAACCAACAGCACATATATCAAAACATGTATTTGTGTTTATATGTGTCTACCCATTTATTTGACACTGATCGCAAACGATGTACTGTCATAAAATTACTAATATTTAATCGCAAGTTAATTGCACACTTGAAGAACTCGCCATGTACATTTGTCTACTGTGTTTGTAAACAAACCGGGAACGTGTCGCGTTGCCTAGCAGCGAGGGCAGACAATTCACAAGTCCGTACAATCTCATACAATCTGCCGCCAAGACATAACAGTATCCGACGTACTAGTACTTCTCAGTAAACATGTGACGTTGTTAAGAAAATCGTGGGTTAGTCTATTTAATAATAAATATTGTCCGAAGAAAAACGTAACTGTCACAAGCAAATGTCGTGAATAAGAGATTATGTTAAAAAAACAGTCTTAATACACGCATTGAATGTGTGACATGGGTAGAGACGCGATTTTAGTAATACATGAGATGATTTGATATTTCTAATGGGAGAAACAGTTTTATCTCCAAAGATGTAAACAGAGAAAATGTGTCAGTAATATTGTGAATCTAGCGTAACGACTGCTTCGTGTATACATACTGCGTCAGAGAAAGTCACATGACCGTCTGCGTCTATCTGTTGCCATGGCTGTCGTGTGTTACGTCTTAGTCCATGTGACTAGTACAAGAACGATCTGGATACACAACACAGTCACCTCTCCGGGACTACTTTCACAATCAGAATACGTTGTGTTATTATACGATCTAAAAATAACCTTTTTTCCCTCATAATTATTAAATCGTTACTCGTGACAGTAGCGGGTTGTTGACGGACTCTGCTTACGCTTTTATACGGGGCTTGATTCGTAATTTAATATTCGCTCAATCACCGTGACATGATGAAAACATATCCCGATATGGCTTGTAATTAAAAATAAGAGAAAGAATTATATATGAACATCCCATGAAATATCAGTTAAACAATTCACGCACGTTTATTTCAATAAATTTACATTTGTTACTAATATACGACCGTGATAGCCACGGTCAACGTCAGCTGGTAACGATGTAAGCCGCACTGACACCCGGCCGCGTCTCACTCTACACTCCGTTACCTTAATTTTAGTAGCCAAATGGGCAACATGAATCAGTTTTTAATGTAATTTTCATTTCTTTTAATGTATAAATTGGCCGGAGAAATTGTGTGCAATTACTTACCAAGGCATTACGTGTAAGTCTACGAGTTTCCTAGGCGAAATAATCTCTGGCAAAACTCATGATATTGTAACCTAGACGTGTTTATCACCTCTACACGTGAGTATTAATTGCATATTTTACCCCTCACATTGATATTTACCCATACTAAGCGTTTTTGTTTCAAATCAGAGTACCCAAGTGTTATCAGAATGGTCCTCCAGGGACGCACTCTTCGCCCTGAAGTTGACGCAGGTGAAACGTGTTATTAGGTGACGTCATGGAAAAGGCTCCAACAAAGAACTATGTTTATATTTCTGTTTACATCTGTGTACATAGTGACTTGTCGTCACGTGATTCTTAGTCATGTGAGTTGCTGAAGATCGATCGTCTGAGTAATTGCTGCGTCACTGCTCTTCTTGATACCAGTCGCAACTGGTCAGTGATCGACTTCATACGACCTTTATATATGGCCCATTGTTAACTCTCGGCCAATCACGTGCCTTGGAGCAATGACCAGAGATCACAAAAACAAAAAAAAGTCCGGACAGGTACGCATTAGTTAAAAGCTACTGATTTTCCCACGGAGCCTGGTTGGCCACGCCTCCCGTTGATTAGGAGATCGGTGCAGTCCCGCTATGTAAATGCGAACTGCGGGTGACAAACTGAAAATCAATGTGCAGAGAGATCCTTCCCAGGCACCTTGCACTCCGCCGGTCTATAAAAATGATTTGAGGGTTTTATTAACAGTTTCAAAGCATCCGCCGTCGACTCGGAATACAAAACCACAACAGCCTTGGCACCCAGTAACAGTATTTATGACTTTCTTGATCACAAATTTATG